CATACAAAAGAGGCCAAGAAAGTGGCTTTACTTTGTTAACAACCTTGTGAAAACCTACCAGGGTCCCTGGAAAACTGGGTCCCTTTATGATGGTGACATCTCTAATAACCTAATCACCTTCCATAAGCTCTGATATCTTAAAAGTCCCACCACAACACCACCACCCTCCAGACCGAGCTTCCAGCACATGAAACTATGGGAGACACATAATCCATGCTTCATATAACCAAATTTCATATAATCTGCATATTTTATATTCCTGTTTCAAAAATAATTATGTTTCAGAAATAAATTGTAAGAGCATGTAAACAATACAAACTGGACTATTTCTCTTACAGTAATTTTTAAATCTTAATTTTCCGAGTAAACTGATATTTAGTATTCTACCTGTGGTAAGGCAAACTTGATTGTCAGAAAGTAATTATTTAGTATAGGGCTTTTAAATTTTTTTCAGTCTTTTATGGCCAATACTTTTTAAAAATATGATTAAAATAAATTACTAAAGAACTTGGATGCTATGGGAACATCAAAATATCATAAAAGTTGCAAAATGCTACTCTTAAATTCTGCTTTTATTTCATTGTGGTTTGGTAGACTCCTTAGGAAGGGCACTATTCACTGTGTTTTTGCATGCTTACATCAGGTGACCAGAGGCTCTTTGTACTTAAAGGTCAGTTTGGCCAAACATAAAATTTTTGGCTAACATTTTCTTTCCATGAGTACTTTGAAATGTTACTATAATTGTTTTGGTCCTAAGAGTATTTCTGTTAAAAATTCTGGTGGCAGTCTAACCCTTTTCCAGTTGATCTTTTTCCTAGCCTGTCCCAAGAGTTTATTCTTTGAAGAATGGCTTGGGTCATCATGAGTTAATATTGAAGCCCTCTTAATGGGTAATGTCAAATTATCTTCTATATTAGAAATGGTTTTGAATGATAATTTCTCTTTAGGAGTTCTTTTTACGTAACAGATATCTAAACATTTGTTGTACTGTGGGAATTCTTAATAATTTGATGAAAACAATGGACCCTTTCCAGAATAATATTTTTAAATGAATAAAATAGAACACATAATTTCAAAGGAAACTAATTATGCTGATATGTGACACAGGTTGGACCCAGGGCCTTCACACTGAGATATATTTCTGTTTTGAGCCAGGGTCTTGCTAACTTGCTGGTCTCTGACTTGTCATCTTTCTACCTCAGTCTCACAGGGTGCTGGAATTACAGGTGATAACAATAATTTAAAGTTATGATGTAGTAATACATTCACTTTATTAAAATACTTATATGGCATAGATTTTAAATAATGAGTTATAAATATAGTTAATAACTGTATGTTTGCAAATCAATGAATGTAAGTGATATTTGAATATACATTTTCAACTCTAATTTCATATTGAGATATCTGTGATTTTTTTTAGTGATAAAGTCACGGGCAATCTTAATACTACAATTTGTTGTATACACTGAAAATTATTTTAGTGGAAAAAATAATAACAATTTTTCCCAACTATTATGGACTGGATGTTGTTCATCCCCCAGAGATTCGTGTGCAGGAAGGTTGGTTGCCAGAGTGGCGACGTTGAGGTAATGGAAGAGTTCTCAGGTGAAGCCTAGTGAAGAGTAAATAAGGTTTTGGTGGCACTGCCTGGGGTACCACACTTAAGAGTGACTTTGTTCTCATGAGCATGCATTGTTGTAAATTTTGAACACCAGTTACATGTTTTTGTCATTTATGTATGCAGCTGATTCCCTTACTGCTTGTTTACCATGTTATGACTTAGCAAAGGAAAAATCCTCAGAAGAGACTAAACAGATGAGACAATCCAATCTTGGGCTTTTATTGTCCGAACCTAGGAGTTACAAATAAACCTCTTTTCTTAGAAATTACTCAGCTTCCAGTATTTTGCTATAGCAACAGAAGACTGACACACCAACCAAGTTTTTTAGCCTACCTGAATTTTTCTACAAACCCTGGAGTACATGGACCCTGCAGTGGAAGCTGTTTTAGACATATATTAACTCTTCTGAATCATCTTTTTGTCTAAGTTCTTTTTTAAGGCTTTATTCATATCAGGGTTGTTTTCAAAATTTTATTTCTTTGTGTTCTATTTATCTCAGAGTATATACTTTCAGTTTGTTTGATTTTATTTTCTTCTTGATTCACCTTCCTTAGGGAAATTATGTTACTATGTTACTAGTGCTTTTTCTTAATTTAATAAGCACTCTAAATCTTTCTTAATGAGCCTATTTTTTAACTTTTCTATTTGCGATTTGTTATCATATCCCTTACCATTGGCTTGGTTTCTTTTGTTTAGCTCATTTTGAGATACAGGGTTTCAGTTTTCATTGTTTTTTGGGCATGGCTTTCCATGTGCCTCTCAAGTCATGGGGAATTCTTTCTGCTCCTTTTTCTCTTAAACTGCATATTTTTGCCATTGCTAATACTTAACTAAATGAATTTTCATGCATTTTTAGGAGGGAGGAGAGGCCAAAATAACTTCTCTAGACTCATGACCCTAGAATTCTCTTTTCAGTTATTTTTTCCCTCAAAGATTTGATCATATGCATTATTTTTTTCTTCCATCTACTTACTAATTCCTTTTTCATCTAGGTATGTTTTGTCCTGTTTATTCTTATTCCGCTTCATTTGGAATCTGTTTTGTTGTTGTTGTTGTTTGTTTTTTTATGTTTTTATTGGTACATTTTAGATACATAGTACAGTTACATTCATCATTGGGATTTTGTACTTTTATATGACATGTCCTGATTTTTACGGAATCTGCTTTTAACAGTTTCTCCTAGAAGGGAATTTGGCTTGATACTATCAGCAGTTTATAGTCCCAGACTACACTGGCATCACTAGATATCATCAGATACAGTCCCTGTTAGATTTAGATTCTGAAAGACTTGCACCTAGTTCAGTCCCATTTTCTGTTGTGTACTTGTTAGAAAGGTAGGAGGCTCATGGCACTCAGGACCATATTGTTTTCCCCCTGAATCCTTCTTCAAAAATACGGACACTGTACATGTTCCATCAGTCTCACACTGACTCAAATTTTGGGGTATATGGAGATACCTTAACACTGAAGAATGAGGGGTGAGAGGGAGAGAAGCTACAAACAGATATTATCCAAGAGCTTTGACATTTAATATCCTCATTACTTTATTGGATTTATACAGGAAAGTGGTTTTTACCTGGGGACACTTTTATTCTTTAAGGAACATTTGCCAATTTCCAGAGGAAGGTGTGGTTTTCATAATAGAAATGAGGAAATCAATATTAACATCTAGTGAGCAGAGGTGAGAAATACTGTTAAATGTACACAGAACCATCTCTCCAAACTAAGAATTATGCAGTTCACATTTTTTTATTTTTATTGAGTTTATTGGTACATTCTAGGTATACAGTACAGTTACAATCATTGCTGGAATCTTGTACCTTTACATGACAGGTCTTGGTTCTCACTTTTTCCCCTTGTCCCTACCCTCCCTTCACCCCCTCCTCCCCTCCCCATTTACAAACACTTTAATTCCATTTTTTCATTTTCTCACATTTTTTCTTTTCCCTTATTCCCCTTCCCATACCCCTCCCATTTTCCCTACACCTTTAGCCCTTTTCTTCCTATTTCACATTGTTAATTATCCCATTAGGATCTTGAGTACTATTATAGTTTTTCACACCAGAGAAACTATTTGGTATTTGCACATGTGTGACTTATTCAGTTCACATTTTTAATAGCGCTAAGGTTGATAAAACCTAATCTATAGGAATTACAGATTCAAATATTAAGCCACAACTGATATTTTCCAGGTGCCTCCAACATATCAGTTATTCATCAGAACTTTTTGTTCACTTCTGTCCCCTAATATCAATGCCCTTGTTAGCTCCATATTTTCTTTGACAGGAGGTGCTCTGGCAGCCATGCTCTTCCTCCCCTCAGTCCTGAACATACTACCTATAATTCCAGAGTAATTATCCTAAAGCACAGTTCATTCCTTCCAAATGTCTGCTGACGGAAATTCAGTAACCTCCCAAAAATCTTTGAAGTTTAATCCCACTATTTAGAAAACCAAAACGTTCCATGTGATGTGCTCAAATTATCTTTCCAAACTTTTCTTCCTCTCTCTTCTTACCCATAACCTGCAACACAGTGAAGTGGGAGTTTTCATAAACATGTCTCTTTTATCTTAAGCCTTTGTTAGATCATTCCTCCAATCTGTAGCACTTTACCATGCCTCCAGCCCAAGCCCCAAAACTCCCTTTATTTGAAATCTTCCATCTCCTTTCTACTCAACTTTTTTGTTCCCCTCCATGCTCCAAACAAAATTTTAAAATATTTCTAATAGTTGAGCATTTTGAATACATTTGTGATGTTTGTGGGTGTATAATTTTGTAATTTTACTTTGAAGAAAGATTGTTAGTTTTTCTTCTCGGCATGGCATTTTCTATAGCATCTAGCAAAGGCTTGTGCATGGAAATGGTGCACAGATTTTGTCACAGTCATTTACTTGTGAATGGGACTCAGACATAAAAAGGTAAAGCAACCTGCCACAATCCATCCCTCTGGCCAATGATAGAATCCAAAGAACTTAAAAATCTATAGTTACGAGTTATTATATTAATCCAAGTCCTCCAGGGAAATAGAATAGGGTACAGACAGTATAAATAAATAAATAAATTATGAGAGATTGGCTTACATGATTATGAACCCTAGAAATTCCTAATCTACAGTCTAAAAGCCAGAAGCTTCTGAAAAACTGATGGTATAACTCTAATCCAACCCCAAAGCCTAAGAACCAGAGGAGCTAATGATGGAAGGCCCATAATGATTCTGAAGACTCAAGAACCAGGGGACCATTAGTGTAAATCCTGGTCCAAATCTGAAGGTCAAAGAACCAAGTTTTCAAGGACAAGGATAGATTAATAGCTTAGCTCAAACTAGGAAGGCAAATTCACCCTTCCTCCCCTCTTATGTTCTACGCAGGCCCTCCAGGGATGATTGTCCACCTACCCTGAAGTGGTAAGTTGATATTTTCAGTATCATTCAGTCCATGAATTCAAATGTCACTCTCTCCCAGAAGTACTCAGATATACCCTGAAATAATGTTTTACTATCTATGGCCATCCTGTCACCTAGTTAATTTGATCTATAAAAATAACCATCATAGCTTTTTAAAGACCATTTTGTGTAAATGATAATCACCATTGTTAATATTTACTAATCTGAGGCTGGATATTGGTTGGAGAGCAATAAATAATTTAGTATGGCTGCTGTTACCTGGAGAATTTCTATGCCTCACTGATCAGACAGAGGTTTAACAGGTATGAGGTTGAATATTAGTGATAATTTTTGGTACCCCATATCCCAAGTCTTCATGCCTCTTATATTCCATAAAATTTGATTTTTTTAGTTATACTTTTAAAAGTAATAGGCACTTATTCTATAGAAGAAGCATGTCACAAATCTAGAATATCCTGTCTCAGGCACCCTTTTCTTCTTTCTTTTTTTTAATAATATACTTTGAGTGTAACACTCCCCATTTGAAATACATGCTTACCTCTGTAGGTGGAACATATCTGGCTCCTTCTAATAGAATGTTAGAACACTGAGACAGTGGTCACCTTCCAAAAATGCTTCCCCACCTACCATTCCCGTTATTCTCTGCTCATTGCAGACTTCCCTCTGATATTTAAAATAGGACCTGGTGTCAAGTACACCATGATGGGAATGGGTTTCAGATTCTCTGCCCCCAGAGCCAGCGTGGTGACCCTGACAATGAGGAGGAGCAAGGTATTCATGAGAATCGTGTACGGATTTTGCCATTTTCATAAGTGCCATAGCCCAGCCCCTTTGTTTGCTGCGGGTCATTGATTGATTTTCCAGATTCTCCTGCAGAACCACTGACCACAAGTCTTGTGTTTTTAAAAGATTTCTGGCCAGTAAATAAAAACTCAAAACATATTTTATCATCACTTTTTAGAACAAGAGAAACACTGTGTACCTCCACCTAGGAAGAGTAGCCTATATATCATATTGACACAGTTAATATGTGGAGTTGGCAATTGAAAAAAATATGTAATATTGTTTTTATGAGTATTAAATGTATAATACAACAGGCACCAATCCATTTGGAAATAAAAATGTTGAAGTTTGTAAAAAGTGACAGGTTATATGATCTTCTAGTTTTAAGCCACATTATTTCAAAATATTCAAGATCATTCTTGCTTTTTCCCCTTGGCAATTGAAATTGTTCTATGAAATTTAGACTTAATCCTGTTTCTGAATGCTAAATACTAATTAATGAGAAGCTGTATGAATAGAACTGCAGAACTTCTCAGAGACTGTAATGTGCAAACTTAAAGGCCCATTATGTTACAAATAGAAAGCATCATTTTGAAATATATTGACTCTAGAAATTTTTTCTCCCAAGAACATACCTTAACATCCTAAGGGTAACAAACATTCTACAACATGGGTTTGGGAGATACTAGTACCTGTTATAAAGCTCAAAACACAGCAGGGCATTAAAGAGCCTCCACAATATAATCCAAATCTTCACTTTTAACCAAATTTTATATATTTCAAATATAAAAATTTCATTCTTATAATTAAAAACTCTTAAAATACAGACATATAGAACTGTCTTAAAAAGAAACTTTAAAATTATCTATATCTAGATATAACCAGCATTTGATTTCTTTTTTATTTTCTTGGAGACTTTATGCTGTAAATATTGTGTTCACTTGAAGCCAGAGAGCACTTTGAAATTGTAAATACAGATTTTGTTTTGTATTTATAATATACATATTATAAAGAAACATGTGGCTGAGGATTTAGCTCAGTGGTTCCACTCCCTGCCTTGCAAGCACAAGGTCCAGAGTCCGATTCCCAGTACCCAAAAAAAAAAAAAAAAAAAAAAAAAAAAAAAGAACATGCTATTAGCATTTTATTTTCATTTTTACTAAAAATTTTTCAAGTAAATAATATTGTACGTATTGTCAGTTTTGCCAGTTATTAAAATATTTATATCTATACGTCCAACATGTGTTTTCCCAAGGGAAAAAAATCACAGAACTTCCATCATCATTGAAATATTCTTCTTCAATGTCCAGTTTCCTCCTTCTCTCCTCAAAGATAACCACTGTCCTAAATTTATTGCTTCTTTGAATACTTTTATAGTTTTACTATGTTTGAACTCATGGACAAAATAGATGTTATTTTTACTATAGAACTCCTTAGACCTTTTAATTTACACATTTATATTTTAAATTTCTATTTATAAATTTAAATCATGCTATGAATAATTGTAACTTTCATTTGCCCCCTCAATATTACATTTTGAGGGTTTCCTCACATTTTTTTATATGTAGCTCACATTTATTTCTGGTAACAACAGTATACAATATACTACAAACTTTTTATCCATATTTTCCTGTAGATTGATATTGTACCCAAATTTCTGTCATTATAAGAAATGTTGCAGCTATGTAAAATTATAATTACCAGGTCACTGACATGTACATTACCAACTCTTCTAGATGTTTCCATATTCGTCTGTAAATTTACATTGTCACCAGCTGGATGTGAGGCTTCCTGTGACTTCACACCCTGACCCTGTAAGCATAGTCAAGCTTAAATTATTGTGTGCTCTGATGAGTACAAAGAGATTTTTCACAAGTGTTCTTGTTTTGAATTTCCTTCATTAATAAGATACAATATTTTCTTCATATGGTTACTGGGCAATGGGATTTCTTCTTTTGTGAATTGCCTCTTTTCTACCATTGACTATTATGAGGCTTTATTATTCAATATTTTCTAATTACAAGAGTAACATATGTTCAATTGTGAAAAACGACAGTAGAGTGTAAAGAAAAATACATGAAATCACCTTATACCCCAGCACTTGCTAGTTAATATTATTAACATTTATGTATATTTTCCTTATAGTGTTTCTTCGATATACAGTAAGTAGACACTGTGAAGAGGTCCTTGGTGACAAAATGTTCTAATGCATTATTTACAATCCTTCCAAGTTAGACCTCAATGACTGAAGTTTTCAATATATAGTTGCAGAATGTGGAACACTACCAATCAATTCTTTGGCATTGAAAATGGCTAAAACATAGCTCTTTGCAATTTCATATTTGTAGAATCAAAGCAAATCCTTTATTTAGTCGTTCTTCCGATTCTCTAAATCAGTAATGCACACAGGTTATCCACTGTTAAAGTAGTCATGGAGAAGAGCATTGTGGGTACTACACATCATGCTCATGTCAGTGAAGCTTGATTGTCAACTTGACTGGATTAAGAGATGCCTGGGTTGTGAGGACACTGACCTCATCAATGGGTTAACCATGGCTGAACGGGCTTTTAGGAGGTGGACCCTATTTGGAGGAAGTGGGTTATGGAGTTTTAACTTTAGGGACCATGCCTGGCCCCAGCCCATTCTTCTCAAACTTTTCTCCTCCTCTCTGCTTTCCACATGGCACAATTTGAGCAATTTTGCTCTGCCACAACTTTCTGGAATAAAGGTTCTACCTCAGAGCAAGCAGAATATGGATTGAAGCCTCTAAAGCTATGAGTCAAAGTAAACCTATCCTCCTTGAATTTGTGGGTGTTTGGTATTTTGTTGCAGCAACTGAAATGCTGACTGATACAATCCCTCTAGGCTTCAAATCACAAAATTCAACTTATTGATTTCAAGATATGAATTGTGACTTAATCAGTACAGTGTCTAGAATTCCTCTTTTTGTTCATTATTTTCATTTCTCGGATGTGTAATGGTATGTTTTATATAGTACTTAAATAATAAAAAGGCTGACATCAGTGAGTAGTTTGTGAACCTTTGAACAACAGTGAAAGCTTCGCTACTGCTGTCATAAATGAAATGGTTTTTAGATCTGAGTGGCTTTTAAACTCTTGGGTTACAAACTTTTTTTCCAAAACAAGAAAGATTTTTCTCAAATTCTTATATTTGCTATTACAGAAAGTTTTAGGTCAGGGTTTTGTAGGTGGAATTTTTCTTTCATTCTGGATGGATGTAGGATTTACTTTTATTTTTCTAATTCAGACATTATGACCTGCCTTGTTCAATTATGATTCTCTTCTTTTTTTTTTTTTTTTTCTGTAATACAGTGAATCTTAAGGCTCTGGATACTGAAGTCTTTGTATGACGAGGGACGATGCTTGTTACTTAGGAAATTTCTTTGATGATTGCCTTCTCTTCAATTGCTCTGTTTTTCACTCTCTAAGAAGTAAACTCATAGCTTTCATCTTCATATTGTGTCTTATATAACCAGCATCTTTCCTACATCATTTAAATTTTTTTATCCTTTTCCTCTGGATTCTGTAAAAATTCTAGAGCTTGGTCAATGCTCCGATTGGCTTTACTACAATGTCTATTCTGTTCTTTACTACTATTCATTGTGATGTTGTTACTCCATTGTTGATGTTATTGAAGCCCTTTCTTCACTCAAGAATCTTCTTACCTCATCAAGTGTCTTTCATTATGCCTTTGTGTTATGGTTCCATAGGAACTGGTGGTCTTGGTTTCCATTACTAATATCCTGATTTCCTAAGATTCTTTTCTGTATACTAAATGAATCATATTCTGAACTTCACATTCTTGTAAGTCTTTAGGCTTCTCTGCCTTTCAGGTATAATATTTTTAATATTTGTCTATATTTTACTTCATTTTAATGTTTACTTTTTCTTCAACAAAGAAAGACATTCATAAATTTTTGTCCCAATAATCCTTCAGTCCTTCCCTTTATGGGCTTGACTACTACTTGATTTCCCTAGTTGCAGCCCAGCTGTAATATTCAGTGGCTGGTACAGCATAGTTTAAACTCATGGAGTTTGCTGGACATTCACTGCAATAATTTTTCCTGAAAAAAAAAATTCTATTCTCTATTATGTGGCATTCTGATGCTTTTGTTGTACCCTTTTCATTCTGAAAACTGGCCAACTTGTCCAAAATTACAAATGGGAGACAAGATGCAGAATGGAGATCAACGATAAGAAATTTCATTGTGATTATTTCATGGTTGAAGCTTTGCCAATCAATGAAACATCTTTCAAGTGTTTGCCTTGTTATTTTTAAAGCTGCAAATTTGCTTAGTAGAAAAATGTATATATGTAGTGAATTAAAGAGTGTGCCACTGAATGATTAGTAGAAAAGTTTTGTTATTCAACCCGGCACTCCCTACCTTCCTTTCAAAAATTCTTGTCTGCTTGTTATAACTAAATGCACTTCGATTTATTGTTCATAGAGCAACAATACTTCAGACTTTGTTTTCCTGTATTGTGTGGAGAGCACAGACATGCAAATATAAACTCATTTCCATGTCTCAACTAGCTCTTCCTAATATCCCTGACCTATCACTGATGGCCCAAGAAGTAAATAAAATACACTCAGGCTTCCTTTGTCGCAATCAACAGAAATGGACCCAGATAATTTAAGCTAAAAGAGGTATATATATATAAATCATATCAGCTAGTTGACAGGTAACCTGGAGGCCCAGTTTGAAAGACACAGGAGAAGTGACAAACTGAAAACTTGGAATAAAACACTCTAGAAATGAGAAGAAACCCATAGCTGGAAGCGTCTGACCACCCAGTAAGGTGATTAAACTCCAGTCAATCCGGTAGTGCTTTCACTTTGTTCAAGATTCAAATCCCAAAGAGTGAGTGTTTGGTTGGATTTAAATCATGTTTACTCCTTTTGGCTAAGACACAGAGTCCTAGATTAGTGTCTCACTGTACAGCACCAGAAGAGAAGAGGTAGCTCCCCTATGGGAACTAAGATGCTAATAAGAAGAGGAATGGACCCTGAAAAGCCAACATTCTGTGAATGGCGTTACCTATTAGCCTGTGCTTTTAGATTCTATCCACATCATTTTGCAGTTCACACTAATTTCTTTTTGCCCATCAGCTAATTAGCTAAATTCTCATGAGCCACTGTACCTCAAAGTCAGGTATCTGCTTAGTATTTCTGGTTTTGTGTGGCTAATTTTGAGAAATTGCTTCTTAGTGAGTGAGAAAAGAGGATTTTGAATCACATAAATCAGGAACCAAGTGGTAGCTGCTCAACTCATTAAGTATGTGATTTTTGAACAAATTATTTATCTTTCCTGAGCCTCAATTTGCTAATTTATCATGAAGCTTTTTTTTTTTTGAGAATCGAATGGGGTAATATATGCAAAACTCTTAGAAAATGCTTAATAACTGACAGCTTGTATTATCATGGTTACAGTTCTGAAATATTTGTTGGTATTTTTAATCAAATTAACCAGTTATAGACATAGCATCCAGTAACCCATTAAGAGCACTTTTAACAAAACATCTATTTCTAAAACTGGGAAATTTTACAATACTGAAATTTGTATCCCCATTGACACATTATGATGTGTGTGATTGTGTGTTGTGGCATAATTACATGCAACACTCAAAGCAAGTTCTAAATACCTATAGGAAGACACTTTGTAGAGTTGTGTGATGCAATAGATATGAGGGAAGAGCCTGGTCATTATCAAAGGGAGTCAAAGTCACTTCTGACTCTTTAGCTGAAAGAGGAATCACACTTCTTTAAGGTACAAAGTTTTGCCAGCAGTTGAAGATTGCTGTCTGCACTACAAAATCTATTCTCTCCTTTGCAGTGTTAGAGATACAGCTTTCCAAACGGTTGCCCAGTTTGAAACATTACCCAACCTGTAACTGAATCATTGTCTACATGTAATGTAAATACAGTCTGCATCCATTGATGAAATTACATGAAATGAAATGACTTTATTCATTTACCTATGGATCTGGGTTGTTAAACCAGGACAAAACTTTAGATTGCACACTTTAAATACATGCAGCTTACTGCTGTAAAGTACCCTTGAATACGGTGTAAACAAAATAATAGAAAAAAATACCCTGGTCTTCAGGCTTTCTGCTTCCTCTTTCCTATGACAGAGCAACAGAAAAGTAGAAAACTAGGTTATGATAGCATTGAGACACAGTTATCATTCTACCTTTAAATAATTATCTTTTCACTGGAAAGTAAGTCAGAAATCGATTTTTTTTTCTATTTCAATGACTCTGATGAAAAATACTCTAAAACACAAGGCCTAAACCCTTTTCATACAGCAAAATATCTGTGTCCTCCCTCACTATACCACTCCAGGCAACAATAACCATAGAATAACTTGGTCAGTATTTCTCTAAGTGCAACTGCATCAGGACCAAACCTAGGTTGCATATTAAATATGCAAATTTTGGGCACCATTAAACCAAATCTGTGGGAAGAGAAGTACAGGAAATCTGCATTTTAAACATACTCTCAGGTGATGCCTATGCCAAGTAAAGATACCACTACTCCAGCTTGTTAGGTGTCTGCTTTTTCAGGGCCTGTGGAAAATGTGTCAAGCAGTAGACAAGCTCAACTTCTGATATTTGCAAATCAGGTTATTTATGAGAGTAAAGTCAGGAGAATATCTTTGTTGTTATAAATCTGTGTGAGAATCATTGTTGAACCCTTTTGACTTTGCTACTCAAAGTTTGATGTGTACATAGATTTTTTTCAATATTCCGATGGAGCTTTTTAGAAATTCAGAAGCTCAGGCCCTAGCCT